GTAGTAATTCTTTCCCCCACAACTCTGGTATTTCCTGTCTCCTTTGTCCTGCCTTATGTTTCATTTTAGACTTAGAGATACCTGCTGTTGATGTTATTTTTTATTTACTCATGCTTGTTTTCCTCAACTAGAATATACACTTCAAAAGAGGAGGCATGTCTCTTTTATTATCAATCTCTAAAACAAGAGCTGTGCCTGGGATATAATAGTTGCTAAATAAATATTTGCTGAATAAATGAATGAATATTAGACTGGGTAAAGTTTAAAATATCTTCTTAACAGAATAGTAGGTAGACATGCATATGACAGTTTTGTTACTTGCATATGGACATGGAAAGGTGTGGTGCATTATTAAAGGAGGAAACCAAATTACAGAACACTTTGTAGAGTACAATCTTAATAAAATGTGTATGGTGTGTATGTATAAATATGCCTAGAAAAGGTTTAAAAGATGTACATCACTTAACCTAATTTTCTCCAAGGTCATCCATGCTGCTGCAAATAGCAGAATTTCATTCTTTTTTATAGGTGAGCAGTATTCCATTGTTTATATATACCACATTTTTCTTATTCAGTCTCCATCAATGGGCATTTAGGTTGGTTCCATATCTTGGCTATTATAAATAGAGCTTTGATAAACATGGGAGCTCAGATATCCCTTCGATATGATGATTTCTATTCCTTTGGGTATATAACCAGTAGTGGGATTGCTGGATTGTATGGTAGTTCTATCTGTAGTTTAGTTGTACTTGAGAAACCTCCATACTGTTTTCAATTATGGCTGCACTAATTTGCAGTCCCACCACAGTGTAGGAGGGTTCCCCTTTCTCCACATCTTCGCCAGCATTTGTTATTCATTGTTTTTGACTATAGCATGTCCTCATTCATAAGTGGGAGCTAAGAAATAAATATATAAGGAAGGAAGGAGGGAGAAAGACAGGAAGAAAAGAAGAAAGGGAGGGAGGGAGGGAGGGAGGGAGGGAGGAAGGAAGGAAGGAAGGAAGGAAGGAAGGAAGGAAGGAAGGAAGGAGGAAAACAAAAGAAAACAGTACATTGAACTTTCAGAAAGAGAGAGAACTGTGGTTACTAGAGGTGGGGAAAGAGCAGGGCAAGGGGAATAGCGAGAAATTGGTTAATGGACATAAAAGAGCTATTAGGAAAAATAAATTCTATCGATTGATTTACAGTCAAATTAGGCAGCTATAATTAACATTAGGAGGAGAGGAGATCGAATGTTCTTGACACAATGAAATAATCATGTTTCGTAATGATAAATATGCTAGTTATCTTTATTGGATCACCATACATTGTACACAGGTATTTATATTCAACTCTGTACCCTACAAATACGTAGAATAAAATATGTTTCAATAAAAATAAATAAATAAAATGTACATCAAATCTTAACATCATTTATCTCTGGGAGTAAAAATCACATATTATTTTCATTTTATTATTTATGATTTCCTGTATTTTATGAGTGTTTGACAATAATTACAATTTACCCATATAATCACAAGACAACTGAATAATTTCAACAACCATAAAATGCATTACAAGGGTAAACCATTTATTTTATCTAATATTCATGGGATTTGAGTCATTTGAATTTCTGTTTTGATACTTTGTATTTGAAGAGGTTGTGTTTTTAAAAAATTAATACCTATATCCAATAAGTAAATGTAGAATTTTAATGGAAATAGCTAGAAACTCAGAAGAGACATTAACTTTTACCAAGTCTTTTTTCACATTATTTTTATCTATAATTTATGCATATCCCATGCAAACTATGCCTTTGAAAATGCTGTACTGGGCCAGCCCGGTTGCGCACTGCTACAGTGCGCCACTTGGGAGCGCGGCGGCACTCCCGCTGAGGGTTCGGATCCCACATACAGACCGGTTCCCGCTCACTGGCTGAGCGAGGTGCGGACGCAACACTGAGGGTTGCGATCCTGTTGCCGGTCCCGGTCCAGTAAGGGCGTGACACTGAGGGTTGCGATCTGTTGCCGGACACGAAAAAAGACAAAAAAAAAAAAAAAAGAAAATGCTGTACTGTATAGGACGCATATACATATGTTTGTATGTATGTCAAAAACCTGAGAAATGTAGCCAGATCTTAATATTAGTTACTCAAAAGTAGTAGTAGCGTCATGGTGATTTCTTTTAAGTAGTAGTAGCGTCATGGTGATTTCTTTTTTCTTTCTTGATTTTGCAAAAACAAATTATGCTATTAATATTTTAAAGTAAAAATGTGTATAAAATATAACAGTGATGCTTTAAAAACTGTAAATAAATATAAGTAAAATAATTTATTTTTGTTTTTGTTTTAGTTTTTGAGTCCTCAACAAATCTAGGTATCTCCCTTTACCCAAATATTGGCACTATCCAAATATTGGCAGTAAGTCCCTTTGGGGAAGGACTGGAGCAATCACTACTATACACACTTACTGTGATATTCAGTGCCCTTCCTCAAGGAAACTCAATCTTTCTTACTTTTTAAAGTTTTATTTTATTTTTAATTGACAAATAATAACTGTGTAAATTTATGGGGTACCATGTGATGTTTGAATACATATATCTACCTTGTGGAATGATCAAATCAGGCTAATTAACACATCTTCACCTCATATACTTATTTGTGATGAGAACATTTAAAATCCTTTTTAGCTATTTTGAAATATATCATACATCTTAACTATAGTCACCGTGCCATGTAGTACATCACCAGAACCTACTCCTCCTGTCTAAAACTTACATTAACACAAATTTATTTTCTAAAATATTTTTATAACTATATTTTAATATGATTAATTTCCTTTGTAATCATTTGATTTTTTTTTACACCTTTAAAAGTATTATTCTGAGCAGTGGGTCTATAGAGGAAGGGGACTGATGGTGCAGCGAACATGCTTTAGATGGTGACACAGCTGATGATTATTATTTTGTGTGGAAAAAGCAGGTATAACACCTTTAAAAGTATTATTCTGAGCAGTGGGTCTATAGAGGAAGGGGACTGATGGTGCAGAGAACATGCTTTAGATGGTGACACAGCTGATGATTATTATTTTGTGTGGAAAAAGCAGGTATATGACTACAGGTGCTTTCTACAGCTCTAAGCAGGAACTCTAAGACCTCAGCAGCTGAATCTATTTGGCAAAGATCAGCACCTTTCACCCTCTGTCTTGCATTCGGTTTCTGTGTATCACCACACTCTAGAAAGTCAAAACTCTGTCACCTACCTTGAATAGAAAACTGTGTTTTGTTATTCTATTCCTTTGTTTTATCAGTTTGTTCTTCTTCTGGTGGCCCTACTTAAACTTAGTATGTAGATGCTTTACTGAGCATGTTGTTTTTGCCTGCACAGGATCCCTTCACCTGCTTCTTCTAATACTGTGATTTCTTTGGTGACACCCCTCCCCAACCATCAGATTCTGTGCTTTGAATAGGACCAACTCCACCTACAACCTACACCCATGATGCTGGAGATGGAATCGGTTCCCCTTGATAAATAAGACCGATGGGCATCTGCCCCACCTAGAACTGATGTGACAATTCTGAAATTTTAATAGGAAAAGAGTTATGCTTTCCACTCTGGTTTCTAGGAGAGAAGGATGTACACCAAGGGCTTGACAGCCATCTTCCCACCAAGAGAAAGAACCTGCCTGAGAATGGAGCCAATGCAGAAGAAAGCAGCTAAGAGGAGAAAAAACAAACACTCAGGCTCTGAAAACGCATTTTAAAACATGCCTGAAATTAATTCTACCCCTGGATTCTTCAACTATGAGAGTTACCAACTCATTCTCAAGTTTAAGCCCTTTTAATTTGGCTTATATCAAAAAAAACCAATTATCTTGGTAGAGGTTATAAAACAAGTTTAGTGACTCAATACCTTTAAAAATAAAAATCAATTAATTTTATGATATTATAATTTTTTTGTTAAGTAACAATTAAGTCGATGCTGGACCCCAATCCATGCATTTTTCATTATACATTATGAAAAAAAATATAACTTCTCTACTAGTGTAAAATCTGCTATCAAAAACTCTTAATAGTGCAACTATATACACACAAACATTCCCCTCTCCTTTACCTATTTTTTCTTAATATCTTGCCAAAACAGTATTTTATATTTCCCAAGCATCTGTTACAGAAAGGTTTTAGGGTGATTTAAAAACAGAAGCTTCTTGACACCCCAAGGGACATGATGTGGCTTAAATGAGGAAGACAGAATCCAGGTAAGACATGAGATAAACAATGACCCTCATTGAAACAAGGAGAAAAATAGTCATCAAGTGATGAGCACAAATGGATGATCACCTTTCCAGTGCAATGGAGAATTCCCACATCACTGCGAGGAGTCATTTTTTACACTGTCGCTGTCTTTGGTGGGTGTGAGGAAACAAAGCTGACTTTGCAAAATTTTTAAGCATATTGGGGTTTTGGGCAAATGGGAGAAAATATTCCCTGTTTGGGGGGATGAGATACCAGTGTAATTCTAGTGGAACTTGGATTTCGCATACATTTTCCTGGTATGCTTCTGGCTTTTTTTCTTTTCCAGATCCTTGAATTACAAGATTGCCTTAATAAGGCTAATTAATGAAATGGAAGCTGAGCATGCTCAAGTGTCTTGGAAAAAATCTTGGGTTGTATTTGAGAGGCTTCTACACAGTTTAGTATCTAGTTGAAGAAAATTTATTTTCATGAATGTGCAGAGTATATATCATTTCCCTAAGTATTTGGCTTGTGGGCTGTCTTGAAAGCATAATATCTGAGATCAGCACACTCAGGAGAATAACTGAATTTGAATATAATTAGGAAAGTTCACAGCTCAGGAAAGATCGGTGAGGAAATGGTGACATAGGAAGCTGACTTGACTTGGTAATGGCTTTAGGAAGCAAGGGCAGAAGCTGGAGCCTTATTCCAGACGGTTTCCGTTAAGAAGGTGGTTGGAGTAAATACATCTGCCTTTCTTCCAGGTGAACAGCCCTAAGTTTTTCAGCATGATAGTGCTCATTTTCCTGGGTAAGTAAACTGGGCTTCTGGTTTATCTGAATTCATCATAATACTAATTCTTTGTAAACCATCTAACATAAGCATAACAAAGACTTATAGTGCGAAGTACCAATTACATTACAAATGTATACTTTAACATGATTTATTATTTTTGCAAAAATGTACACTTACTTTTACTCATTTATTTCTAACTCTGTGGAAAATGCACAATGTGAGAATTGCATTAATCTCTCAGGTTGCTTTTGTTTTTATTGTATAGAGTAATCCAATGAGTTACTTATGAGGATTGATGAAATATACATAGGTACTAGAACCTTTTAGAAATGAACCCTTCCAGTATCTATTTACAAGTTATAAGATGACAAATTTCAAGTTATTACCTATTTTTGCTTTGAAATTAGATAAAAATGAGATTAATTTAACCCCTTCAATTCCTCTCATTTGAAAGTGTTAGTATTGACTAACTAGGAGACGTTTAGTAGAATAAAACAACTTAACACCACATCAAATGCTCCACATTTCAATCAATTTTTAGGACCTAAAGGGGGGACTTATTCCCCTTATATTGGATCTTGTGAATGTATTATAAGACTGGTGAAAAATATTTCATTTGCATTTAATGTAGAATAAAATTCTACCTGCTAGATGTGTAATTGAAGAAGTTTTTCCATCATCTTCAGCATTTGGTAGAATCTATAAACTGAATTCAGGAAAAGGGATAGTTGTGATTATAGCTGGATATTAATAAGCAAAGCCAGAATATTTTCTGTTTACTCTAAGCAAGTAGATATTGATGAATAAAGGCATAATTGTGGGCAAGAAACCAAAGAAGGCTATTTCAAATTACGTTGAATACAAAAGGAGAGTCAAAATAAATCAAGCAAAATAAAATTAAGAAGAAAAGGAACACTTTATATATTTTCAGGGTTTTGGGGTGTTTAAATAATAGCTCTTTATTATTTCAAGCTTTTGGGTTCTTATGTTTATTTTTTAAATATTTCCTTATTTCTTGTATTGATTTTAAATATTTTCTTATTTCTATTTTTTCTTATAAAGAGAGTCTAGAAGACTTTAATTTTTGTAGATCAGGCAGCAATATAACGAAACATACAAAATATATTACTATCTCATTATGACTTCAATTGAAAAGACAATGTCTCTTGTATTTTACTTCTAAATTAATCCTGACACCAGGTTGAATAAATGAGAAAAATTATTTCTAACATTGTTAAGACCAAAATTGTACTATTTGATAGGTTGTACCAACATTTCACATACTGTGTTCTTCAAAATACTTGTTCAGCATCATCTAAATAGGTCTGGTGATGAAGGAAATTTTTGTCACCAAAGAAAATGTGGCAAACAGTGAATTTTTAAAACTCAGAGCATTTAATATGCTAATAAACCTCATGCTCCATCTTATTAATTTAAAAATAGAACCTGTTTTTCACTGAGAATTTCAGGAGAATCCTTGAAAAAACGTGGGTTAAATACAGAGCCACAAATCATAGCCAGGAATAAATAAGAAAGATTTTGGAAAGGTAAAGTTGCATTTTGATGGCTGTGGGCCAAATCATTGATAAAGTTTTCTTAGTTGATTCTATATTTCATCGGAGTGGAAGGTGTGGAAAAACATGTAAAATAATCAAGTGGATTATTCAACCAAAAAATTGAAAATGTAAAAGGAAGTGAAAGAAATTTGGGAAAGATATGTGGAATTTAAAAATGATCATTACACTGAAGTAACAGTGAGGTTTTGATGATATATTCAGGGGATCATCACCTATAAGTTTCTTGAGGGAGCTGTTCACAAGATAGAATGCTCGATGGCAAATAAAACGCCAGTTTTTTTTTATCAGTTAAATTTCTGACATGAAACCCCTGTTTCAAGGTTTTTGGAAAACTGGATTCAACCATGTAACTTTGGGCCAGGATCAAATGGACCTTCTTTCTCTTTCTCTGGGCTTGCCAACTTAGGAGCACAGGAGTTTGGCTAGATGAGGTTGTCCATAAACAAATGAAAAAATAGAAAGATGATCTGTCAGTTTCCACTCCAGCCCTCAACAAGAAAAATATGACCAGGCCACACCCATGGACTTAATCTCCAAATGCAGTGACCCAGCAAGTAGTACACATGGCCCAATTTGTCCTGGATTCTCCTTAACAGACAAGATTTGGAAAGAGGTAAGATAAGAGAAAAGATTTCAAGGCTTTAATTGAAGCCTATGAATCTACACTGGCACAGGTGATTAATAATTAATGTCATATTTTTAAAAATTCAAATAATTTGGCTCTGATTAAGACATAGCTAGACATCTCCTAATTATAGTTAATGTAACTACTTTTACAACTCAGTTGTGATTCCCATGTTTTTCTATTAACTGATTAAGCAAGTGTCACTTTGCATGTTTGCAGAATCAATTTGACTAACTTGTAAAACACACTAAGTTAGCAATGTTATTTTCTTCATTGTTCTTAGAAAACTTTCTAGAACTTTTTCTCTTCCACCAAAAATAACTTGTAAATATCTGGAAGGTATTACTTTTATTAGATATTATAAGCTGTTTTATGTAACTCATCTATAAACAACTAATAAGTTTTGTGTAATTCAACATACATTTATTGAATATCTATAATGCATTATTGTATTAGATGATGGGAATGCAATTATAAATTACCCCTAATGCCTGTTCTGTGAAAGCCTAGAACACACTGGTGAAGACAGACATGTGAATACACACACTATAGAGCAGGAAATTCTATAGCTGGGGGATTCTCAAGGTTCCAGACAAACAGATGAGGAGTATAAAATTCAATTTGGGCATCGACAAAGTAGAATTCAGGGAAGGTTTTCTTAAAATAAATCATAGTTGTGTTAAGTTCTAAAGGACAAAAAAGTGATTCCAGAGAAAGAAAGGGAGTGCTTACTAGGAACCAAACAGTAAATGCTCAGAGGTATAAAACATTATGCAGCATTTTGGAAACTATAGGTATCTGAGGACTTCCAGATTGCACATAGTGAGAAATACAAGTCATGTTGTGAGGAATCATCCAAAGAAGATTAATAGAGAAATGGCAGAACTAGAATGGTGTATTAGGTACATTAGGAGGTATAAAGAACCTACCTGAAAGACAAAGCTGGAGGCAGACTGATGAACTAAAGAGTTAGTCAAATGCGCAAAGTCAGAGTTAACGAACTCCTCAAGAATACAGAGTGAAGCTGAAAATGGAAAAAGAGTCTATCATAAATCCAAGGTTTCTAGTTTGGGTGCCTGTGTTAATGGTGGCATTGCTGATGAAGCAGAGTGGTCTGCCAGGGAGTGGTGAGCATGAGGATAATGTTCAAAATAATATAATCTGGAAGTGTATCTGGAACAATTAGCTAGAGAGAGCAGTTATCTATTTTTGACAGGAGTACTGGAAAATATTGGCATTGAACTATGTGTTTGAGATCATCGGTCTAGAGATTTTAGTTCAAACCATTAAAGTTTGTTCACAGAGAATGTATAAAATGAGAATTGGAAAGGTCTGAGTGCAGAACCTAAGCTAAAAATATACTTCAACAGAAGAACAAAAGGATCTTGGGAAGGATTCTAACTTTGACCAGAAAATATCAAGTGGATAAATATCAAGAGAACTAGAAGAGAGGGTTGCCAAAGGAAACAAGAGATTCAAGGACAAAAAAGTCAATAAAAAGAAAAATGGTAAAAGAACAAAAGGATCTTGGGAAGGATTCTAACTTTGACCAGAAAATATCAAGTGGATAAATATCAAGAGAACTAGAAGAGAAGGTTGCCAAAGGAAACAAGAGATTCAAGGACAAAAAAGTCAATAAAAAGAAAAATGGTAAAAATAGGTGAGATAAAATGTTAAAACTATTAAATTTGATGCTAAGGAGGTGATTATAGACATTTTTAAGAGCAGTCTCAATGGAACAGGTAGTCATAAGAATAAATTATAAGTTGAGGATAGACAGTGAGAAAGCAGAGAGAGCAAATACAGACTATTCATTTAAGAATCTTATATAGGAGAAGTATGTATAGATCTATATTTAGAGGGGAAGTTAAGGTTTATTCCTGACTTATAATAATTTTACTATGTTTTGTTTTCCGTAATTTTCCTCTTTATCATTAATATCATTTAGATTTGGGAACGTGGCTGCCAAACTGTAATGCTACAGATTTTTTGTTTTTGTTCTTGTTGTTATTCAAGCTATTGGGCTGAGCTTAGAAAATGAATTCACTTCCCAAACCAGTGACTGCACATATTTAAGAGAGCAATGCCTAAGTGATGCAAATGGATGTAAATATTCGTGGAAAATAATGGAAGATGCCTGCAATGTTTCAGGTAAAAGAAGTTGCTGAAAATACACTCAAATTATTTCTTTCTACTAAAATAAAAATTAGATTTGATATTTTCTTTCACTATCCTAGGAACTAAGTTAGTTTTGCTCTGAATAACTTAATCTTGATATTCAATTGCTTCACCTTCAATTGCTTATTAGTGAATTTAGTTACAAAATGATATTCTTAATTACTAAAGGGAACTGATGTATTGACACCAAAGCCAGCTTTATTCAAGAGTTCAGATTAATTTCTTTCTTATCTGACCATGTATAATGCTACAGTTGTATGCATGCTTCTCAGAACCATGGTTACAATTTTTCAAATAAAACGTTATTTTACTTGTATGTTAATATGTCAATGATAAAATAATACATAACATTTGCGATAATAATTAGTTTGTACATCTATAATATACATTTTATATTCTTGCAACATATATACTATTTTTCATTTCAACTGTGTCAAGAACAAGTAAAACATAGTTTTATTTTTAAATTGTGAAACAAACTCAAGTAGTTCTCTTTAAAATAATGAATGAAAGAAAATTTTCAGGAAGAGGAATAGGCTTTTTAAGTGAAAGCAAAAAACAAAATATTGGTAATTAAGGAAGACTCATCTATTGATTCAATAATATTTATTGAGTATTTTCTAAATGCCAGGACCACCTTATTTCTCATGATAAATTTAGAGTCACCTGCACATCTCTCATTATTGACATATAAAATTAAATAGCATATTAACACAAGATAGCTAATAAAACAAGTAAGCAGATAAAATAGCTAGGATTAGAGGGCATTCTGGTTACCTCATCTAAGGTCGGCCTTAATTATTACTGAAGAGCAAAAGTTGCATTCTGAGTGCATCTGAGTGGGGACAAAGTTACTTTAAAATGCAGAAAGTTTTAATCTATTTTAGAAAATGCTCTATTGGAAAAAATGCAGTAAAATAGGTGTTTTGCTTAAAAAGTCATTTATACGGACATCCTGCAGCAACCTGATAATCTTACTATCCTAATGATTATACACTCAGATTAATATATTAAAAGTACTTTGGGGAGGGGGGCTCAAAACTTATATTCAGAGTAGTCTCTGGAGTGTCATATATTTGATTGTAAAATCCAGGTGACCCCTGCAAGATGAGGAATTCGTCACACTGTAACCTGCGTATCCAGTCTTTAGTGCAAAGCAACGTCCAATTTAAAGAGTGTCTCTGTACTGATGACCTCTACTGTACTGTGAAAAAATTGCTTGGAAAAAAATGCACCAATAAATCAGGTAATACTTTTTTTAAATGGAATATTTACAATCATGAAAAAGAAAACTGCAATTTCAATGTTAACCATATTTATGTAATTCGATTAATTCTTGACATGATTTGGGG